GGAGCACAGGGAAACACCTCAAGGGACTTTGGAAAAATGTTGGCCTTTAGACAGTAATTAGAGGACATGCAGCATATTCTGTTGCTATTTTGGTGCTCCTGCTTCTTAGCCTGAAAATGTGTTAGATAATTAAAATAACAGAAAGTCATTTCCACCTGTCCTTGGCCAGTGCTTTTCTGCCTTACTGAGTTATTCCAGGACTGTGAGATTGCTTATCTGGAAAGCCTTTTCAGGCTTACTGGAAATGTTTTGTACCCCCAAAATGCTTTCTGGTAAAATATCTAGTCTTTGCTCTTTGGGTGTATTGAAATTTCTGATGCGTTTTTTCATGCTGAAATGGAAAATGCAAGCTTTAAGCAGGGTTTAATTGCTCATTTAGAAAAGTTGGCAGCAGCAGTATTAACCCAATATCTGTGAATATATGGCCACGTTGCATTGCATTTTCATCTATTAAAAAGAAAATAAACAAAAAAACCCTGCTATTTTTACAAAGACTTGAGCCTAGCGAATTTTGTTTAAGATTTTTTTTGTGAGAAACTGGGAGATTATAGAAGTAAGAACAGAAAGTAGCGCATATGTTGCTTCATCATAATAGAAATGGCATGTCTAGAGGGACCCCCTGTTCGATATGCTGGGTACTGTGTTATCCTTCTGTGGTCCTTTATATGAAGAATCCTCGGTGTAGTAAATAGGAGGTTGAGGATCAGCAGCGTTACTACAAAATTTTGTCAAATAAAGTGGTTGGCTGGAATGAACTCACAGAAACTTTAGAGTAAGGAAGAGAACGAAGCACAGGCATTTTGGATTAATGTAATATTTGAAATTTTCTGAAACAACCAGAAGCTCCTTTCAGAAATTTTACTAATGAAGATCCTTATTCAGTATTAGAAAGAAGAACCATCTTTCAGATACACTTAGCAGTAGAAAAAGAATTTTGTGAGGAGACAACAATGAATTATCATGCTATTTTATAAATATGGGTAGTTAGAGCTACCTTTTATTAAAAAAAAAAAAATCCCAGAACTACAGTGGAAGTATAAAAACATTAATTTAAGGAAATAGAGAAAATAGTATGTTCACTTAAATATGGTTATAGTGAACTAGTCTAGAGTCATGAAATAGAGAACAAGTCAAAAAATCTTTGGCTTTATTCATCCCCATCAGATAGCTGTAGAAGGCAGTCGATTCATTTAAGCCAAATAAAGAATCTTAATGTCTTCATTGGTGACCATAAGAAAATTTGTCAAAGTGGAAGAGGGCAGAACCAGCTTGATGGATGGCAATCGTATATGAAAAGAAGAGGTACGGAGGAGGAGGTAAAACAGTCCAGTTCAGGCACCAATAAGTAGAAGAAACATTCCTTTTAATGTACAATTTTATATGACATCTGTTTGAAACTGGCAATATTTAAATTGGAAAAGGCACAGGGGGAGGGTGAACTGTGCAGTAGTAGGTCTGCTATAATAATTCTTACTGAAATTTACATGACAGAATGATTTGTCAGTTCTCCTCCCAACAAGCTTCTGTTTATGGTATGAGTTACAGCAGCAGTGGAAGAGAGAAATGCCGAAGTTACATTCTTTATCTTTCTAAAGACATGATTCAGCAAGTAGCGATTTCTCGGGAATAGAGACTAGCAATTTGACCTGAATAAATGTAACAGTAGTTTAGAGTAGCCAGTTGTACAATGATGAAGCAACTACCAAGAACTAGTTACATGAGCTGGAGCAGCACCTTGAACCAATTTGCATCTAACTTGGGTTTCTGCAGCGCACATGCACACAAAGGAGTGGATTATCTGTCATTAAATGTGTGCAAGGTAGCATAATGAATAACGAAGATCTTGCGCAGGACCTAAAGACTGTGATAGTTATCTCAGTCCCTTCTTTGTGGCAGTAGCAAAGCCTTTCTTCAGGCTTCTCATGGATTATCCCATACACTCTCCAAATGTTCCTGAAACCATCAGTTCCTTCCTTCCTGCCAAGCTTCTCCTTGTCTTCCTACAATACTATGTTTTCTGCTATGAACTGTGTATGTTTTTGGACTTCAGCTGCAGTTATTTAAGATGCTTCATCTCCCAGATGCCCATCTACCCATGCTGTGCTGTGGTAAGCTCCCTGGTTGTTTCAGATGTGCCCATACTGGGATCTCTAGTCTGAGCACAAGTATAATCCTAATGTTATGTTATAGAATACTTTTGCTGATGTAGAATTAACCATCTGTTGAGGAATTTAATGAGGTATTTCTTACTCTCGCCTCCATTTTATATTCGAACTGTGTCCCGCCTTGTATCAAATCCATCAGCACAGAGTTCAAGGAATTGCTGCAGTCTAAACTGACAAATATGGACTTCAGTCCATTCTACTGAGTAATCTTTACATCATGTTGAACTCCATCAGGTAAACCTTGGTCCAGCCCATCTCTTGGCCTTTAATTTCTAGCTTGATTGTTACTCCCTGAGATACTGCTTTGGCTGCTGTCCTCACACTGCTAGGCTGAATAGTTCACTTTCTGCTTTCAACAACACTGTATAGCAAAAGTAAAATTCATCTTATAGGTACTGAACGCTAGGTAGTAATGTAATGTGTCAGTGTCAGTATGGCAATGCAAGTACTACTGAATTAGGGTGACTTGCAGCAGTTCTGTGGGCTGAGCCCAGCTCACATATGTAAGCTGAGTTTGGCAAACTGCATTGTAACTGGTAAAACTCTTCACCTATCATTTTAGTAAGTAGACTTAATGTGAATAACCACATTTACAGAAAGAAGTTTAATTCAACTTGCTGAAGAGTTGACATGAAGAACTCATTATCTGCTCAGAGAATTGTTTCTGAATAACAAAGTAACAAACTACCATAATGACCCTTTTTTAAGGAAAAAGATACTTCTTTTGTCTCTTCTTTTGTTTTATGTTTGTTCCTTTTCTATCTGCTTGATCAAGACTGTATTCTGAGAGAGAGCTTATAAAATTGCAAGTGAAAGAAACAGTCATAACACTAGAAGCATTTTATCTCTTAACTCTTTTTAAAGTACATTTTGAAATATTTTCTTTTGGTTCCATCACCCCCGTGAGCTGAATTTTGAAAATATTTGCCACAGGTGCTTTATACATTGAGTCAGCCAGTTAATTTCAGCTTCAAGGAGTGTGTGAAGGGGGAAAGGTTGACTTTCTCGCCATTTCAAAACCTTCATTTTGATCCCTGCTCTGTCTTTTAATTCTATCTTACCTATGTTGTCCTTCATGCTTGTCCTCAGCAGTGCTTGCTCGGCTGCTGCTTTATCATTGAAACAAATGGAAGGTTATTAGAGACCCCATCACAACCTGAAGTAGGCTGCTAGGATTCACCTGCAGGCTTCCCTTTCCCAGCATTTATCACAGCAGCATCATGATGCAAATGGTATCAAGCAATCTTTTTCCATCTCCAGTTCCCACTGTTACCTAAGCCGGTAGCTGTTGTTCTAGACCCCCTCTAGGTCTTTTAGAGCTTTCCCAGTCAATCTGAGCTTTGCGTTTCTCTGTCTACTCCTGACAGCATTACACTATGTTTCTCAGTGTTACGGCTCACATGTTCAGTTTCTTCAGATGATCTCCTGTGCCTGAGGGCTTTCATCTCTGATCTTTTCTCCTTGGGATCCTCCAGCTACATTTTGTGATGCATCCCATTCTTGTGGCTTCTAATGTTTAGCTCCTTCTTCTCTCTCATCCAAATCATACTCTGTTATTCCATGTCACATGTCTAACTATCATATCTTTTGTGATGTTTCAGTGATTTCAAAAGTCTCTTCTGCCTTTCCCCTTAACCTGCAGCTATTTTCAGATAGTTGGAAACATAGAGGTACAAAGGGGGATTTTGATTTCAAAGAGCTTTTCTACTGTTATTAAGATTTGTCTGTATAAAACTAACTGCAGGCATGACGTCTTTAACTGCACGCTTCCAGGGATAAGACTGCCTTTGTGTGTGTGTGTGTGTGTGTGTGTTCTGAAAAAAACTGTGATAAGCGCATTCTGTGTAACCGCTTCTACTTGTACTAGTAGTACTAGCCCAGAACAAGTATTTTTCCTGCAGATAGTGCAGGACAGCCCAAGTTACATGAGTAAACAAGAGGAAATGAGGTGCTTATTTCTTTGAGCTAGTTTTGTGAAACAAGTCACCATTTTGACTTTCCTTTCCTCAGACTCCTCTGCTGCAATAACAAGCCTTATCTGCCTCCAGATGCCTCGTGGTGTCTGGGTGCATAATCAGGCGATACAAATCTGGCAAGCTTCACAACTGAGCTTTTTTCTTCATGTCTGAGGCTGCATCTCTGTTGAAACACAAAACCTCTGCAGAACAGAGGATGCACACTCTCCCATGCATGCGGATTGAAAGCCCAGGCCAGACTCAGCATGATTTATCACTGGCACTCGAAGTGAAACCTTTTTAGATTGCTTCAAGCTTAGTAGCCCAGAATCAATCATCCACTATGTTCTGTCTGCATTTTTACACAAGCAGCCCTTTCATTTTTTTGTAACTCTACAGTACAGTCACCTTTGCAACGCATTCTATCACCACTCCAGGAGCAGGGTCTGCATGTTGGCTTGCCAGCTAAGCAAGTTTTATTGTACATTCCAGTGCTCAGTTACTAGAAATCCTGATTCTTCTTTGCCTTGCACCACAAGAAAACATTTCTGTAGGACTCTGTAGCTGTGAAATGCAATGAAGTCATCTTTAGCACTCACTGGAATATTTCTGTTGAAAGTATTTGAGGTGGTTCCAGTGCCTTCAATGGACTGGCTTGCTTACTGACTATAAACTTTACAAAGCAATGAAGGATCAGCCATTGTCTGACTTACCTTTTTATACCCTGACCTTATACTCTTATCCTTTGGAGTACTTACTCAGCTACTGCTGTCCTGTCATCTTCTGTCCTGGAGGAAAATAGGGATTTAGCTGATGAGAAAGGGCAGATTATACGGGATAGATATATTGCTAAATAGAGTCTTTTCTTTTTTCCTCCCAGGCAAGTTTGTTGTTCCTGTGTTTGGACAACATTGATATGAATGAACAGCAAATGATGGATGGTTTTCAAACTTTGCTATTTCCTGTCTCTCTGCATTTGCCGTTGGTTACGCTTTTCATTCTGAATGTAAAGCTTCAATAGTTTAACTGAAGGTAGGTTACTGAGCAAATTGTATAAAGCCAGGGTAGTTTTTTATGTGGCAGCACTTTTCTGTCTATTTAAACCTGGTTTATTTTGTTTTAGTTTATGCTCCAAATTACAAGTGTAAGCTAAACCACTAAATCCCTATCTCAGATGTTAATTGCTATAACACACTAGTTCTTTTACTATTTGCCTTTAGATAAAATTTTATATGTAGGTCACATTTTTTTCCTTTGTTAAATACTTACTTTGTCAATAAGAAAAGATAGATGAGCCTGAACTAATTATTATGGCTCTGTATCACCCTTGAGAGAAATCCCGAGTTCTTTCCAGCTTGACTCTGCTTACGGCCAGCATGGCTTTTCTCCGCATAGATGTTACAGTATGGAATGCAGTTGTGGGATTTTTTAATGGCCTGTTTGCCAAATTCTAAGAAATTATTAAACTTTACAGATCTAGGCCTTAGATTTAAGCTCAGTGGGGCTTTAGTCAATGTATTTTGTATGCTTTGTAAAATAGCATGTAATTAATACTGGAAACTGTATGAGCATGTAACCTTTGAAACTTTCATAAGATAATTGAGTTTGATTAATAGGAAACTGGTAAAAAGACTGAGTTTTGGAACATGGGATTGTTATAGAAGTACAATCTATGGAAGAACTGGGGAAGCTTGAGATTGAAGTAGAGAAATATGTGTGGTTATTTATAAAACACTTTATCAGGTACAAAAAACAATTTATCTAAATGTTCCTGTTTCTCATGAATTTCTATACAGTTTGCTTTGTGATTGTGATGGCAAAGGTGTAAGGGCTTGACTTCAAAGTTCTTTTGCCACAGGATGCCTCTTGGGATCTTTAATACTTAATAGTTTGTGTAATGGCAAGAGAAACGTGTACACGTGAGCGTCCCTTTTGCCTCTCATGTATGCAGGCAAGTACCTCATTGTTTTGAACTAACATAGCAAGGGTAGTGAGCCTTAGATGCACAGACTAAAATTGATGAGCTTTTAGCGGTTATTTGAGGGATCTTGCACTCTATTACTGATGTTCACTAGCTATAAATCAAGCATGAAATACTGAGTATTGGGATGAAGTCTAAACTTTTTTGGATGCCCACAATTGTAGAAGTTTTAAAGACAATGGGGAAAATGGAAAATCATTTCTTTTAAAAGCTTCTTCGGGGATATGGTTCAGGATATGGTTCAGGTTCATCTTTGGTGGAAGCATCAAAATTTCAGCAGGTATGCATCTAGCTCAAAGAAGAAAATCCTGTGAGCAATGTTTTCTACTTTTCCACTTGTCTCTCCTTTCCTTACTGTGATTGGTAATTTCAACTTCTGCAGTTAAAAAGTATAGTACTTACATTTTTTCCAAAGGTTTTTTTTTTTTGCTTTCATTTCTTATTAAAATGAGCTTCACTTTTGGCTTTTCTTTTCTGAGGTATAACAGTACATTGTTAGATTATCCTCTCAACTTTTAATTCTGCAGGTACTGAAGTTACTTAGAAATAAAAACAAATGGAGAAGATCAATTTTTATGGCACTGATGCAAGATGCATGTGCCGTGTTTGATAAATGTGTCATTCCACACAAGGAAACAAAATCCCTGAAAGGCTGCCAAATACTTCATATGATGTCTGCACCATTAGATTGCTTGAGATTTTTGCCACGCTTTTCAATCAAAGTTTATGCATCCAGCACAAGATCTGTTTTGTATCAGTAAAGATACTTACATAATAATAAAATAGTCCCATGAATGCATCACTAGGCGGTTGATTCAATTTTCCAAATGACAGATCACAGATATGATGTGAAATAGCATTTAAAACAGATTTCCCCAGGTGTAACTAATTTCTTACACTTTTGTTAGGACTTTTGCAATTTATTATGTGGCCCTACAGAGAAATAATTTACATAATCACTTAAATGCTCATAGTCAGGATTTTTTTTCCTCCTTTTTCTGTTCATTTTTCTCATTAATATAGACTGTCAAGGAAATATGGCTGAACTGTGAAGTCTTGCAGGTAGTTCATGCAAACTGATCTGTATAAAGTATGTATAAAGCTAGAGGGTCTTCAGCTACCCTGGGATTTAGGAGCAGTTTCTCTGTTCACACCATATAAAATATCCTTTGAATACTGTAAACAGCATTAATAATAATATGACTCTTGTGATTTAACTGGTATTTTACTGTATAGAACTCACCACCTAAATCACTTGGGCATTGTGTAAATCAAGAGAAAATGATGCATTGTGTGACCATCTGACAACTTTTAATACGTAGGCTGAGCTTTTCATTGTGACCTAATGTATCTGAGGTGATACACCAATCCATTTTAATGAGATTGGCTATGACAGACTAATCTTCGCGTGTTGATATGTCCAAAGCCTCTGCTTTTGTAACTCTCATGCATAGATTTATATTGGGTTTTCTGAATTCATGGGCTCCAGTTTGGCAATTGCAGGCAATTTTTGTCTCTGTAAGTGTATTCTTTGTATTTATTTAGGGTTGTGTTTTGTCTGAAGATTGTTTCCAGAGGTGATATCTATGAATGAGGTTTACTTGTATTCCTGATGCAATGTGTTTGTTCTGGTGGTCCAAACGAGGCAAGGCAGTGACCAGAGTATGAGAGCAGAATTATGCTGTGACTGGAAAAGTGAGACCTTGTCTTTGGCTGCAGCGTAGAAGTAGCACCGCTGCTGCTGCTGTTTGTGCAGTTCGCTCCCTTTCCTGGTGAAGGAAGGAAGGGAACAGGACCAGGCAATAAGCTGTAAGGCAGCACAAAACACAGAAGTTTTATGTGTTACTGTGCAAGCGTTAAGATGTTGCTATAAAATAACGAGGATATTGTAGTCCTTGAGCTCTAGCTGAATCCTTGTAGCATCAGTCCCTGTCATCTGCTAGCTTACTGGTGGAGGATAGATTGTGAGGTGGGAGATCTACTCTAGCACCCATACTTTTCTCCACTAAGTCTTATTTTGTTGGTTATTTACAGGAAAAGAGATGTTTTTCCTTATTTTTCTATTATAAGATTATATTGACTTTAACACCGGGAAATACTAAAATCAAACCCTGAGCCTTAACTCTGCCCACTCTAGTGCTAAATAGTTAAGTCTAGTTTTCAGCAATATAACTAGTATTAGCTTCTCATCACAGTCTAGTGAGAGGCTTTTGTCTTTATTTTTCAGTTACCTAGGTAGACCCAGAGAAAATAAATTACATTGCTCACATGCTTAAAGCAAGTGTGAATGCACTTGCAGAGTTAGGATGTAAATGGTCATACCAAATATCATGCTGTGAGGAAAATTAATATCTTATGATAGAAGCCATACTGTCATCTATGGATGACAGAATTTAAAAAGAATATAAACAAGGACCTCTCCATTCTGTCTTCTTAACCCTTCAGTAAAAACAAAGCAGATTCCTTGAAAATGACAGCGCCACATATAAAGATGTATATTTAATTCTCTAAATATAATTATCCATACTATTTTTTCCTAAGCCCACTTATTTTTTTATGTTTATTTAGTATTCCTAGTAATGCATTTTCAGACCACAATAGTATCTCTGTTCTTTTTCATATTACTTTTTTAATTTTTAATGAGAGAAAAAATAATATGTAATAATTAAAAAAAGAAAAAGGATCTGTATCTATCCTCCCAAATATTTGTGCTTACAATGTAATTATTATACTTTGGGCAGGTGAAGCATATTTAATAAATTTGAGCACAATTCAGCCATCAAATTGTTTACAAATGATGAACAGTGGTAGGAACTAATTTTTAGGGGGGACGGTTATGAATCATAAGATTTTTTTCTTCCTCTGTGGCATTCTTGCTTCACGGTTCCAGGTCTCAGAAGAACTATATAAAATGGGTAAATATGGACAGGTGTTGTATCAAGTTTCCCAGGCAGATATTTATGATATATATAATCAGTAATATTCTTGCCAGTTAATTAGGGATCTATTTGATAACAATTAGTCAATATTTTCACAGCTCTCTGATCATGCAAATGCTGTATAAATGATCGGCATTGTTATATCACTAATTAGCTCATAAATATTTGCTAAATATAGGCTAATGACAATGTAATGTGGATATAAATAATTCTAACTACACCAACTGAACAGTCATGTATAATTAATGTAAAATACATATTTTCTTTGTAGAGGAGTTTTAGCACTTATATTATAAAATCTGCATTCACTCACTCAATTATCAGATGGTGTAGATTAATATGACACACTAAAATGAGGTATATGCTCTTTAGGAAAGGGATACCTTTAATTTTGGTTCTGTGTACTCTATTTTGGAGTTAAAGCCTGATGGAAAATGCTTATTCTTTAAGATCCTAATCTTTGATGTTAGTGGAAAGTTGTTTCATATTGTTTGCTTCCAGACATCTTAGGTTTCGTGGCCACTAGTTAGCCATATTCTCCTAAACATATTGCCACATATATAATATATTATTTATGTCTTTCGAGTCTAATTTGTGTTATAGGATTTAGCTAGCTAAAGCAGAGCTTTTATAGGAGGTAGATGTCTACATCTAGGTCTGAACTCCAGAAGAGCTTTGCTCAGTTGGCATTTAATGCTGGAAGCAAGACTTCATAGTTTCCTAGATGTCAAGCACTTTTTTTCTGAGCGTTTGCAGAGCAACTCTGATCTTAGAGGAGAGGAAGAGTCATGCTCCTGGCTTATGCCTTAGTCTAACTCGGATCTAAAAATTAAGAGTTCTTTCTGCCAAGTCATTTATGGGATGCAAAGCATGACCAGCGTGCAACAAACAGCAGGATCGGGTATGGCAGTTGTGGTCACATGAAGAAAAGGAGGATGGCAGTATATTCC